TTTTTTTTTTTTCTGGAGAAAGAGGAGACAGAAGGAGTGCAACACTCGTGGTTAAGGTTGATACACTGGAGCGTTGAACGTTTGTCCGGACGATTTGCTTCAGCTATCGGTGTAGCTGCAGTACTGGTCAAGTTGTTGCGGTAGTACGACTCCGACGCGGCAGTATCAGAAGTGCGGTACGGCGCTGCCTCCGCCATTCGCGATAACTATAGGAGGAAAATATCCCCCACCTCCACAATACGCGGAAAATTTGTCTTTTGAAAAAATTTATGCCTGGAGAAATAGACCAATGGTCATTTTCCTATGGTCTATTAAGATGGATGGGTTTTAAAGCGTTTTCCATGCCTGACCTATTTTTTCATGATCTATTTTTTCTTCTCTGGACCTGAAGAGACTACTTTTAATTAACCGAATTATTTATTGCAAAAAGGCGGAAAATTGAGATTTAGAAAAGTTTAAAAAATATATGAAGCCGATAGCCTGTTGACGTTTTTTTTAGATATTATTCTGTTGGAACATTATTGCGGGTCTTTTTACTTCAAGTTGAAAAGTTGAAAAGTTGAAAATTTGAAAATTTTACAACTTTCAGTTATTATTAATGTTATTATTATTGTGGTTACGGTAGTCCTCTGGGAGTTTTCAAAATGTAGAGGGAAGTGAAATGTAAAGACCCGAAAGGACATGTCAATAATAAAATAAAAGTATGAGAATTTTAAAAATATATAGAGTTGGTTGACCTACATTTTTTTATGGGGGTCACCCACTCTCATTATAGTCTCCATCTCACTCCGGTCTGGTTAGTTATTTTTAAAAATTTTGAACAGAATATATTGCAAAAAAAAAATACAAAATATTCAATTCCTCATAGACTATCGTCAGCGGGCGCTCAGCCAAAAGTATATAACACGACCGACTTAATTGATATTTTATTCAACAAAAATCCGTGTTTACTGGTTAGTTATTTTATCATTAAAAAATAAAGACACAGTGGAGGGGGAGGGGGTTTAGTGGTGGGAGGTAAATTCAAAACCAGACTGTACCAGTTCCCCCACCACTGTGACCTCGCATAGGCGCCAGCTTGTTATCTATTATCGCATGGAATAGTAACAACGCTTTTTTGCTACTGATGATAATTGACCCTGCAACTAATACTATTTTTTCCCCACTCACCCTCTTCAGTATTATTTTCTCCATTGTTTTTTTACTCTTTATTGCTGATATTTTTTTATTGCTATTTCGAATTCCTCGGGGAATTGTTTCGTCTGGGATTTTTCTTTTTCATTGGTAATCCAGAAAAGCATCCGATGATTGACATCTGAGGTGAGTGATTAACGTGATGACCTACTTGTTACAGAAGTAGGAGAACGTTGGGGGGTGGGGGTACTCGGATAAAGTTGTTAATGACAATTATTCGTCGGGTGTTCGGAGTTTAGATTCATCAATGGGAATTGCTAGTTGTGATGGACAGAGGAAGTGAGATTGTTGCAATTACTTGATTGGGGTGATGCGCAATAATCGCGCTGATGTAACTTTTAATGGTTTTTTTTTCAATTATTTCATACGGATGTTTTTCTGCGTATATCGGCAGAAGTAAAGACTATGCGGAAAAATATTTAAAAAATTGCAATTACAACGCATCTTCTGCGTTTTATATAAAAAAAATAGGAAAATTTTTACACAATGAAATCGGATTATCAAAAATCGAAGCAATTCTGTGAGAGCCGTAAAGATATATTATATATTATATTATATAAGATATTTTTTAACTCAAGGAACGCTCGTAATTTCGCACATTAGATTTATTTAAGTTACTCTGAAGTCGTGAATAATTGACCTGAATATTCTTTCGATCTGTGGGAGACTTTAGAGGAACAAATTAAACTGTCTTAGCTTGGAATAATTATAATTTATCTATGAGACATATTTTCGCTTTTTTATCTACAACCCGTTTATAATAAAAATTATTTAGAAATCTTCCCCTTCAGGCGGGATTCCCAATTCTTCATCAGTCCACTTATCCGCTTCTGGGTAAGGGAATTCACCCTGGAATAAAAAAAAAGATAAACCATTGCAGAAAAAACAGATCTGTGCCGAAAGCCTATGAGACGATTTTCCTCATTCAAATCAAATTCACTAGATACAAAGAGTCAGAGTGAAATTTTAACGTACCACAATGTGTCCAAAATCGTGCCACATATGCCAGAGGATCCACCACCACATGAGACCTCCACAAGCCTCAGCCATGTACACATCAAATTTCCTTGGCTCCCACATGTCACGATACATAACACTAAAAAGTTAATGACAATAATTAAAAAATTGTAAACACGACTAACCTATCATTCAGTGAATTTGTTACATAACATGACTTACGGTCCACCTGAATGTCGTACTTGAGTGTTCATCGGTGTTTTTGCACGAGTTGCAAGGGCTGTGACATTTTTTATCACACCAACTCCTCGCGATATCAACATTTTTCGAATATGTTGTTTGTTACCTTCGATCAATGATCTTTGCTACCTACTCCGAATTGCTAGACAGTTCAATGTTTATGCTCATGTGTATATTGTGTAATGATTTTAACTAGATGGTTAATAGCGGTGGCGGATGAACTAATTAGAGATTATAGGGGAGATTGTTAGCACCAAAGAGGATTGACTAAAAGTAGAGGCTCACTTCTCGCGGTTGGAGTGACCCCAACGGCTTCGTAGTAC